CGAAATTTCAGATCTCTGCTTGGATTTCTGGAATTTTCAGATTCTCTCAATTCTCCACTTCCCAGGTTTTCAGAATTCCGATATTTCTGAATTTCAGAATGTCACCAATTTCCGCGGTTCAAAGTTTTTCAAAAGTCAAGTTTTCAGAATTTCAGGTTTTTCAGATTCTCAAATTTCACAAAAATAAAAAAAAACATTTTGTTGATCCGAAAAAAATCTAGAAAATCGAAAAAATTTTTAGAATTCCAGAAATTAAGAGCTTCAGAATTTCAGAACTTCAACGTTTCCCAAATTTCCAATTCTCACGATTCTTAGTTTTTCAGAATTCCTGATTTTCACAAGTTTCCAAACTTTTCACGCGTCCGATTTTTAGAATTCCAGCTTTTTCCAAATTTCCAATTATCCTTATTCCACGTTTTCAGAATTTCAGATTTTCACAAGTTTCCAAATATTTTCATGATCCCAAGTTATTCAGAAGTCCCATTTTCAGAATTTCAGATTTTCAGATTTTTCCAAATTTCCAATTATCCTGATACCACGTTTTTCAGAATTTCAGTATTTCAGGTTTTTGAGATTTTCAGATTTTTCAGATTAGAATTCTCCTGATTTCAGGGTTTTCAGAAGTAGAATTGCAGAATTTCGGAACTTTAGACTTTCCCAAATTTTTTGTTCTTATAGTTCCAACTTTTTCGAAAGACCAATTTTAATACAATTTTCAGATTCTCAATTTTCTCAAAAAACAAAAAAAACATTTTGTTGATTCCGAAAAACATCTAGATCTGAATTTTTGTTTTTTTCAAATTTTCTCAAATTTTCTATTTTTTTCCAGTTTCTGACCTATACTTTTTTGTCAAAAAGAATCCCAAAAGAAGCCATTTTCAGATCATTGGTGAGCAAAAAAAAGAGCCGGTGGCCAGTTTTTTCGGACAGTATAAATAGGAAAAAATTTTGTCTGAAAAATGGGTAATTTCAGTTTTTTCTTCTTTTTTTCATTTTTGGATTACTGTACTTCCTGCACATCTAACTCTGTACTTATGAATTCAATCTTTTCGACTTTCGACAGTAATCCCAAAGAGAAAATTCTGGAAATTTCAGTTTCTTCTTGTGGATTGTTTTTCTGGATTTTTAAAAAATTCGAAAAATCAATATTTCCTTTTTTCTATATTATCTCATTTTGCCCAGATTACTGTGCCTCCTGCACATCTAACTTTAAATTCCCAAATTTCAGGTTCATCTACAGTAATCCTTCCGAAAAAATGTTCCACGTACAAATGGAAATTCACAGTTTCAATTCGGATTTGGATCTCAAGAAATGTGCAATGGGCGGTCCGAAAATGCCAGAAAAATCTGAAAATTCGAATGGATCTCAAAAATTGATGGACCGCGCGTTGGAGGAGAAGCGGAAGGGATTCAAAAGACATAATACTGCTTATTTGTGATAAAATCAATTATTGATTATTTTTTTGATAAGAATTCAGATTTTTCGGATTCTTTTTTGTATCCCTTGAGAATCTTTTTTTTTTTTTTAAATAAAGATTTTTTTTTGAAAACTTGGAGAATACGCTTTCTTAACTTCTGAATTTTTTCTTGATTTTTAAGTCTTCCTTATATATAAATCGCTGTGGATTTTTGAAAAACTTGAAAAATTAATACAATTCACGTGACCCTTTTAGAATAATTGAGGATCACGAATCAGTGAAAAACTAGATTGAATCGAGCCGAAGGCGCACCAGCTTGCTGGTTACGGTAATCCTGAATTTTTGAACTTCCGAATATTATGTTTTCAGGATCTTCAATATGTTTTTTTTTCTGACCCCACAAACCATATTTTATTTTTTTGCGAATAATTTTTTTTTGTTTTTCAATAAATGATTCACTAATTAAATTTCCTACCGGACATCTAATTTTTTTTCAGAGTTCCAAAAATCAAAAGAAAAAATATTTGTTGACCTGCTTTTTCTCTAGTTGTGACTTGGAGATTTAGAAAACAAGAAGCCATATAAAAAATCGGAAATTTTTAGATTTCTGGTTTGTTTTTCAAAAGGTCAAAAGGTTTCTGATTTTCCAAAAAAAAATTGAAATTTTGATTTATTTTTTTTTTTGGAAAAACAGGAACATATTTTTATATAGAAACAAAAAAAAATAAATCAAAGATTCAGGATTTCAAAAATCTTAAAAATCCTGAAAAATCTCGAAATATATGAAACAGAATTCTCGAGAGATCAGATTTTCAAACTTTTCAGAAAATTCTGTAAAATTCCTTCTTTTTTACATTTTTTTGGATTTTCAGAATTTCTTAATTTTTTAAAAATCTCAAATTTTCAAATTTCAGGTTTCACAGACTTTCCACTTTCGCTCAGTGACTGATTTTTTTAAGATCTCGGAAAATTGGAATTTTGAATGTTCAGAGTTTTAGAATTTCTGAGGAATCGGAAAATCCGGAATCATGACCCGGGAATCCGGAATCCGGACTTAAGAAATATATAAGGAAGACTTGAAAATCAAGAAAAAATTCAGAAGTTAAGAAAGCGTATTTTCCAAGTTTTCAAAAAAAAATCTTTATTTCAAAAAAAAAAGATTCTCAAGGGATACAAAAAATACGAAAAATCTGAATTCTTATCAAAAAAATCAATAATTGATTTTATCACAAATAAGCAGTATTATGTCAGGGAAAGTTCTGAAAACTTAAATTGCTCTGAAATTCTCAAATCCTGCGAATCTGAAATTTTCCAAGAAAAAACTAAATTTCAAGAAAAATATTTATTGGAATCCAACAAAAAATTGAGAACCCATGAAATATGAAAAACATTTTTTTTCAAAAAATCAAAAAAATTATTTCACATGTAGCAAGTGAATGCTCTTCTGAATCCCTTCCGCTTCTCCTCCAACGCGTGGTCCATCAATTTTTGAGATCCATTCGAATTTTCAGATTTTTCTGGCATTTTCGGACCGCCCATTGCACATTTCTTGAGATCCAAATCCGAATTGAAACTGTGAATTTCCATTTGTACGTGGAACATTTTTTCGGAAGGATTACTGTAGATGAACCTGAAATTTGGGAATTTAAAGTTAGATGTGCAGGAGGCACAGTAATCTGGGCAAAATGAGATAATATAGAAAAAAGGAAATATTGATTTTTCGAATTTTTTAAAAATCCAGAAAAACAATCCACAAGAAGAAACTGAAATTTCCAGAATTTTCTCTTTGGGATTACTGTCGAAAGTCGAAAAGATTGAATTCATAAGTACAGAGTTAGATGTGCAGGAAGTACAGTAATCCAAAAATGAAAAAAAGAAGAAAAAACTGAAATTACCCATTTTTCAGACAAAATTTTTTCCTATTTATACTGTCCGAAAAAACTGGCCACCGGCTCTTTTTTTTGCTCACCAATGATCTGAAAATGGCTTCTTTTGGGATTCTTTTTGACAAAAAAGTATAGGTCAGAAACTGGAAAAAAATAGAAAATTTGAGAAAATTTGAAAAAAACAAAAATTCAGATCTAGATGTTTTTCGGAATCAACAAAATGTTTTTTTTGTTTTTTGAGAAAATTGAGAATCTGAAAATTGTATTAAAATTGGTCTTTCGAAAAAGTTGGAACTATAAGAACAAAAAATTTGGGAAAGTCTTAAGTTCCGAAATTCTGCAATTCTACTTCTGAAAACCTGAAATCAGGAGAATTCTAATCTGAAAAATCTGAAAATCTCAAAAACCTGAAATACTGAAATTCTGAAAAACGTGGTATCAGGATAATTGGAAATTTGGAAAAATCTGAAAATCTGAAATTCTGAAAATGGGACTTCTGAATAACTTGGGATCATGAAAATAATTGGAAACTTGTGAAAATCTGGAATTCTGAAAAACTAAGAATTGTGAGAATTGGAAATTTGGGAAACGTTGAAGTTCTGAAATTCTGAAATTCTGAAGCCCTTAATTTCTGGAATCCTAAAAATCTTTTCGATATACCGGAATACCAGATTTTTGAAGTTTTTAGAATGTCTTTTTTTTGTTAAAAGGTACAATCTATATTTAAAAGTTCTAATCCCTTTTTAATCCCTCAAAAATTAGTTTTTTTGAATTCAAAAAAATCATTCCACTAATGATTTCTATTTTTAGGAAATGATCCTTTTTTTCAAGTTTCAGATTGGACCCAGGGACTCAGGGACCCAGGGACCCAGAGACCCAGGGACCCAGGGACCCAGGGACCCAGGGACCCAGAGACCCAGGGACTCAGGGACCCAGGGACCCAGGGACCCAGAGACCCAGGGACCCAGGGACCCAGGGACCCAGAGACCCAGGGACCCAGGGACCCAGGGACCCAGGGACCCAGAGACCCAGGGACTCAGGGACCCAGGGACCCAGGGACCCAGAGACCCAGGGACCCAGGGACCCAGGGACCCAGGGACCCATGGACCCAGAGACCCAGGGACCCAGAGACCCAGGGACCCAGGGACCCAGGGACCCAGGGACCCTGGGACCCAGGGACCCAGGGACCCAGAGACCCAGGGACCCAGGGACCCAGGGACCCAGGGACCCAGGGACCCAGGGACCCAGGGACCCAGGGACCCAGGGACC